AGGTTCTCAAAATATATAATTTGTTCAGTGTGTAAAAAAAATAATCAAAACTTCATACATCGTTCTTAATTTTCAGACTTTCAAGGTTTTATATATTATTATTTTTTTTTATTTTTCGGATGGAATAATAGGAAAATGTTTTACTTTTACACCAAAAAGCTTTCAAAATCTTTAATTTTAAAGTTTAGAGGGGAGGAAAAGAAAAACCATAGCACAGAAAAGCCACATGCAATTTTTTGTCCAAAACTATTTTAACTTTTCCATATGTATACGCGAGATACTAACAATGGCCCCAATATCACATTTCAGAATATCAGATATGTCCCTTCACCCAATACCAAATTTAGCAACATTTAGTAAGCATATCCAAAATAATCTCTCCATCCTATATACCAACAATGATCCAAATTAGGACCATTTAGTACTTTTCGAACAATGGATTTTCAAGCCCACCTTCAACACTCAGTCCCATATACCAATGGAGACATCAATATCATATATAGGGATTCCAGTTCTATATCTTCACCCAATAGTCAATTTAGTACCACTAAGTACTTTCCGAATAATTGTACTATCATTGTTCTAAAAACATTTCCAGAAACAGGGACATATATATCCTTGTTAGGATTTCAGGTCTATTCCTTCAACCTATACCAAAATGTAGTACTCTTTTGTATCTTTCGTAAGATTATAGTACATATTTCCAACACCACCTCCTAATCTCAATCCCAGATATGAACAGGGACATTCATATCAACTTTTTGGATTTCAGGCCTTTCCCCTTCAGCCAAAAACCAAATTTAGTACCATTTAGAACTTTTCCAAAAACGTATGGTACACATTTCCAAAACCACCTCCTTATCTCAATCCCAAATACCAACAGGACCCTAGAGACTTAGATCTAAACTTCATAATTTCAGAGTTGCAGCTCTATCCCTTATCCCAATATAATTTTAGTATCATTTAGTACTTTTCAAAATATTTATAGTACACATTTCCGAAACCAGCTCCATATATCAACCCAAATACCAACAGAGTCTCAGAGACCTTTATATCAAATTTCAGAATTGCAGCTCTATTCCTTAATCCAATACCAAATGCAGTACCTTTTAGTATTTTTCATACAAATATGGGACGCATTCTCAAAACCACCACAATATCTTAACCACAGATACCAACAAGGACAACTATACAAACTTTAAGATTCCAGGTCTCTCCCTTCAACCAATACCAAATTTAGTTCAATTTTTCACTTTTTTGAAAAATTATAGTACACATTTCGAAAGCCACCTCCACCATATCTCAATCCCTGATAACAAGAGAGACCTGCATATCAAATTTCAGAATTGCAGCTCCATCCCTTCACCCAAATATAGTACCTTCAGCACCTTTTGTACAATAATAGTACAAAATTCGGAAACCGCCTAAATATGTCCAAGCTTTACATGAACAGCGACCCTAATACCGAATTTCGGACTTCAAACACCATATGTTCACCCATTACCAAATTGTACCGAATATAGTATTATTTGGTACATTTCGTGCGCTTGTAGCACCCATTTCCAAAGGCACCCCTTTATCACAAACCAACAAATAAAGGAACGCCAATACAAAATTTTAAAATCGCAGCTTCATCTGTTCACTCTTCACAAAACATTTCCAAATTTTGTACCTTTTAGTACAGTTCGCACACTTAGTACCAAAACCGCCTTCGTACTTCAAACTTTCCAAGCTTGATTCTTATGACAAATTTCAAGTTTCTAGCTCTATCCGTTTCCACAATACCAAATTTTACCATTTTAGAAAATGAGTACAATTTTAGAAAATTAGTTCCATTTTAAAATTTCTCGTAACGGTCAAGTTCAAAATTTATCTATCCTGCACACCATTTCTTTCCGTTTGCCCAATACCAAATATTCAATTTTTAATATAATTTAGCACTTTTCGTATTTTTTTTAGTACGAATTTACAAAACCCATCACACGCCTACGCAACAAGACTGAATTTCGTGCAAAATTTCAAAGCTCTGGCCTTAGGCAGAAGATACCAGAAGGAGTGTACCGATAGTGTCCATCCAAGAACTCGATCTAAGTTTGGTAAAATATTGGAATGTATTAATTTGGTGCAAAATCGGTTACCAACTTCCAGGGTTATCGTGTGCACAAATAGATAGAAAGGCAGAAATTTTGGCCGTATCAAATAATACATTTCATCAGTAGCCATTCTGCTGAGGGTATAATTATTCGGAACGGATGCAATCAGTCATGTTCTCAATCCCTAATGCTGGAGGGTGTCAGAAGACCGACCAGACCGTACTTAATGCTTTTTCATAGCCTCCACCCTACTATCTAGGGTATATTAACTTTATCTGTTCTGATCAGCGTATAATTCTAAGTCGATTTGACGAATTGAGATAGGGGCTCAAATTTTTGCATATATGTTTCTTTTGCGAGTAGGCAGGTTAAGTTCGTAATGGGTCATGTGGGTCCACGATTTCGTATATCCCCATAGTGCGATACCTCCCAACATTGGATATTTTGTATGATTTTTGTGGCATTATTTACCGGAATTGTTTCAAATTTTGTATTGGAAATTTGCAAAAAATAATGCAAGCAATGACAGAAAATTGTCCATGCATGTCCACGTCTTCGTATAGCGCCCATATAACGATACCTCCCGATTTTCGGTATTTTGATTATTTTAGCGGCATTATTAAAAGAACTTGTTAATTAATTAACCAACTAATTGAAATTTCGTTGTTGAAGTTCGTAATGGGTACTACAACCTATGACAAAAAATTATCTATGCAGGTCCATGTTTTCGTATAGCTCCATAAAATGATACCTCCCGATTTTCGGTATTTTGATGATTTTATCGACATTTACACCGGAATTGTTTCAAATTTCGTATTTGAAGTTCGAAATCGGTACTACAGCCTATAAATAAAAATTACTTATAAAGGAACACGTTTTCGTATAGCCCCAATTTATTGGAGAGGCATTTATGGAGGGTATTAAAAGTTCGACCAGACCGTACCTAATGCCTTTTTATACCCTACACCACAAGGTGGTCAGGGTATTATGTCTTTGTGCATTTGTTTGTAACAGGCAAAAGGAAACGAGTTAGACCCATAGTTCCTTTTGATGATCTGCATAGAATCACTTTCTGAGTTGATTAATGAATGTCAGTCCGTCTGTCCGTCCGTCTGTCCGTCCGTCTGTCCATGTATTCTTGTGAACAAAATGTAGGTCGCATTTATTATCCGATTGAGATGAAATTTTCCAAACAACATTTGTTTGGCCTAAGGACGAACCCTATTGAAATTGGAGATAATCGGTAAAAATTTAGATATAGCTCCCATATATATCTTCGTCCGATTTGCTTTTTATTGTGCACCAAACGTATAATATCAGCCCGATCAAATTTTGCATTTTCAGGCCTAATTTGGTTGTATGTGCAAAATTCCATACCATTTGGGCTGATATTATACGTTTGGTGCACAATAAAAAGCAAATCGGACGAAGATATATATGGGAGCTATATCCAAATCTGAACCGATCTCGATAAAATTTAGCAAAGTTATTTCTGAGCTGCATTTGATATATTTCCCCAAATATTGTTGTTACAGAGTGCATATTACGGCTGCGGAGGACAAAAATAACAAATCGGATGAGCAATATATATGGGAGCCTCCCATATATATTGCTCATCCGATTTGTTATTTTTGTCCTCCGCAGCCGTAATATGCACTCTGTAACAACAATATTTGGGGAAATATATCAAATGCAGCTCAGAAATAACTTTGCTAAATTTTATCGAGATCGGTTCAGATTTGGATATAGCTCCCATATATAACTTCGTCCGATTTACCTTTTATTGTGCACCAAACGTCTAATATTTGCCCAAATGCGATGGAATTTGGCACATACGACCGAATTGAGCTTAGGAGGTAGCATGCCAAATTTGGTGAATATCGATTCAGATATAGCTATAGGTCCCATATATATTGTTCATCCAATTTGTTATTTTTGTCCTCCACATCCGTAATATGCACTCCGTAACAACGATATTCATGGAAATATATCAAATACAGCTCAGAAATATCTTTTCCAAATTTTATCGAGATCGGTTCAGATTTGGATATAGTTCCCATATATATTTTTATCCGATTTCAAATTAATTTCGCACCAAATGGGCAATACAAGTCCGAATTTAAAAGAACAAATGCTTCGGCATATTTAGTACTTTGAATTTTAAATTATAATTATAATCATAGGGTGTACGATTGAATTCTCCCATAAAAACTTTTAATTGTTATGTGGAGCTCAACTAAATTAGCAAAGTGGTGTAGGGTATCATAAAATCGGCCCTGCCGACTTTAGGACATTCTTTACTGGTTCAATTTATAACTTTATAATTAGCTTAATGTCCCCCTTAAAATCTTTGAAATTTTAGTTATAATTACCGTCTACATATTAAAAAAAAATGCAATGGCACTCTGCTTCTCAAGTCCACACACTAGCCAAATTTTATTTCCCAGTCTTTTTTGTCGGTTAATGTAATTGGCAAATTGCCTTCGTTCAAATAGTTACACTGTAATATCTATTTAAAATTCGATTCTATGAAAATTAGCATAAACAAACATTTGGCAACGGATGGCAAACTTGGTGCAACAACAACAGAAGTGAAATTGTTACAAACAGTACTCGTGCCCGTTTTTCCGAACATCAAATCAGTCTGCCCACCCAACTCTTTTACCCCCAACTTCAACTTTACGACAACCTTTCATACAAAATTTAAGTTTTCATTGCCCGAAGGGACGCTGTGAAGTGCCTTCAGACAGACAGGCGGGCATAAACTCGCAAAAGTATGTTGGAAAAAATATGTTAGCAATTCAAATTTTATACAAAATGCAGAACAGGAACGAACACAGGGAGATAAACAAAACGACTCAACGAACGAACGAACGAACGGGCGGACGAATGAAAGAATGAACTTACTTGGCAAACCAGGATCCATCGTTGCTGGTAAAGCGATCCACAAAATTGTGCAACGAAATCGCTGATATATCACTTAGGGCATAGTAGTGTGTCAGGTTGTATTCTGGCACCCAATTCGGCTCTCCCAGTAGATTGGCATTCTGCAAATCCATGTAGTACTGGGTGTAGTCCAAAACCTATAATTATGCATCGGAGAAGAAAAAGAAAAGAATACGTTTGTAAGAATTGTTCGGAAAAAAAAACTGTAACGTTTCATTATGTTTCCAACTTTTTGGTCTTGATTGTGAAAAAGGTGAGTGTGTGTAGGTATGTTTGTGTGTGTGTATATAGATTGGAATAGTTTTTGTCCCAGTGGTGAGCCTGCTGTTAACGTCATTCGTTATGGTCAAGTGTTGGGTCCGAGCTATGTTGTTTTTGTTCTCTATAAACTTGGCTTTGTTGGTTTAAGGTTTTTGTGTATGAATTGAAAGAAATATGCAAACAATAGCAAAAATTATCGAAAGAAAAAATGTTGTTCTCCTTTTGTAAAAATAAATGGAATGATACAAACACACTGTAAATTCGCACAGAGCGCACACACATACACATGTATAAATGTGCCACATTTACATTTTTATCTTCTGTTTTTTTGTTTGTGTGGCTTTATTTAAAAACAAAACAAAAATATGAGTCATTTTATGAAACATTCTCGCAAAAGAGGTAATTGCGGAGCGTACCACCTGATGTTACGATTATTATGTATCTATATCTATAAAAGAGGAAAATGTTTGTATGTTTGTTTGTTTGTTTGTTTGTTTGTTTGTTTGTTTGTAATTTATGGACTCGAAAACCGCTGAATAGATTTTCCTGAAAATTTCCATATATACTGCAACATCGCCTGAAAGTAACATAGGCTATATACATTTTTGAATTTCCACTTGGAACTGGAGATATAGCATCAGAATCGGAGGAAACTCCCAAAAATTTAGATTTTATATGCACATATCTATTGATTGGTTGAAGATACAGTCTCCAAATTTGGAATACGTAACGGAATTTGGAACAAAAATAAGTTTGCCAAATTATATTGTAATCGGTTCAGATTTGGATATAGCTCCCATATATATTTTCGACCGATTTCGTTCATTTGATGCCTCAAACACAATATGAATGTTCGATTCCAATGAAATTTGGAATGTGTGACGGGATTTAATCCGAAAATAAATTTGTCAAATTATATTGAAATCGGTTCAGATTTGTATATAGCTCCCATATACATTTTCGGCCGATTTCAAGCATTTGATGCACCAAACGCGCTATGTATACCCAATTTCAACGAAATTTGAAACGTGTGATAGATTTTATCTAAAAAATTGATTTCCCAAATTATATTGAAATCGGTTCAGATTTGGATATAGCTCCCATACACATTTTCGGCCGATTCCATGTATTTGGTGGACCAAACACGATATGTATTTCCAATTGTAATGAAATTAAAATAAGTAACGGAATTGGGAGCCAAAATGAATTTGTCAAATTAAATTGAAATCGGTTCAGATTTGGATATAGCTCCCATATATATTTTCCGCCGATTTCACATATTTGATGCACCAAACACGCTATGTATCTCTAATTTCAATGAAATTTGGAATGTGTAGCGGAAACTAAAACAAATATACATTTGTCAAATTATATTAAAATCGGTTCAGATTTGGATATAGCTCTCATATATATATTTCGACCGATTTCATGTATTTTATGCACCATACACGATATGTATGTTCGATTCCAAAGAAATTTGGAATATGTAATGTATGGATTTTGATTAGAAAATAAATTAGTCAAATTATATTAAAATCGGTTCAGATTTGGATATAGCTCCCATATATATTTTCGACCGATTTCATGTATTTGATGCACCAAACACGCTACGTATCTCTAATTTCAATGAAATTTGGAATGTGTAGCGGAAATTAAAACAAATATACATATGTCAAATTATATTAAAATCGGTTCAGATTTCGATATAGCTCTCATATATATTTTCGACCGATTTCATGTATTTTATGCACCATACACGATATGTATGTTCGATTCCAAAGAAATTTAGAATATGTAACGGGATTTTGATTAGAAAATAAATTAGTGAAATTATATTAAAATCGGTTCAGATTTGGATATAGCTCCCATATATATTTTCCGCCGATTTCACATATTTGATGCACCCAAAGCGAGAGAGACAAAATCTGGCACCAGAAAAAATTGCCAAATTATATTGAAATCAGTTGAGGTTTGGATATAGCTAACATATATATTTCGGCCGATTTCATATATGTTATGCACCAAAAATGATACATATGACCGATACCAATGAAATTCAGAATGTGTGGCGGAATTTGGTTACAATAATAAATGTGACAAATTAATTGGAAATTAGTTAAGATTTGGATATAGCTCCCATATATATATTATCGGCCGATTTCACATATTTGACACACCAATTTCAATGAAATATGAAAGGTGTGGCGGAGTTTGGTGTAAAAGTATTTTTTTTTTAAATTATATTTGAATCGGATCAGATTGGGATATGATTTTAATAAGAACCATTGACCCACAACGCCTTAGGCTAACACTAAAAAACAACACAACAATTGGTTTGAAATACGCTTATTACGGCGAAGTATGTTGCTATCTCGAGTTCACTAATTGCAATACAAATGCCACTCAACTTCAAAAGATTGCAGTTTACTACACGCTTGGTATTTGCTATGAAATAAATAAATCCGAAGGACAAACCCTTCGTGTATGTATGTCATTTTGGTTATTTACGCATTAAAGTAGTGCAATAATTTTTTTTTAATTTTTAAATTTGTTTTTTTTTAACCAACATATATTCGTAAATAAAATTTTGAATGCATGTAAAATCAAAAGGGGTAGCGAAGCGCACCGGGTTCAGCTAGTATATTATATATTGGCAGAGTTTTTTTTACATTCCATGAGATCCGGGTTTTATTAAATCAGAAGTGATTTTAAATATAATTTTTGCAGATGAAGCACGAAAGGGAATTTTTTTCGAAATATAAAGAATAAATGTGTATTATTTATTCTTATACACTCCACCATACTATGGTAGGTATATTGCCTTTGTTATTCCATTTGTAACACCTCAAAGTAATCACACTAGACCCCACGTTGTATATATTCAGCGAAAATTTCCAAGCCGATGTAAAGATACCCGCCCCTTTTCGAACCCGGTTATCGTTCGAATGAATTGAGATATTATTATAAACCGCACATTTTCTAACCGAATTATTTTATATTCGATATTTAGAGTACACAGGGGTGTTTTGTTTCTTGTGGGTTCCTATGACCCCCATATAACGGAACTGTAGTTTGATAATTTTATCCACATTTTTTTTCAAATTGAACATTTAGAGTTTGTAAAGTGTATTGCTTCCAATAGAAGAACATCGTCTATATGAGTTTAGGGGTTCCTATAGCCCCCACATAAGGGTACCTCCCAATATTTCGTGTTGTGACGGTTTGGCATTATTTTCTGAGAGATCTTTTTAAGACTTGGTATTAGTAGTAGTTCGTATTAGTTTCCACTCCCGGTTACAGAACATTATGTATATAGGCTTTATTATACCCTCCACCTTGGAAAGGAGGGTATATTAACTTTGTCATTCCGTTTGTAACATGTCTAAATATTCGTCGTAGACGCCCATAATGTATAGATATTCATAATCAGCATAAAATTCTAAGTCGAATAATTTGTATTGTGTCTAGGATGGTTGGTATTGAAAATTACATATATCGGTCCACGTTTTGGTATAGTCCCCATAGAACCGTACCTCCCGATATTTGGTATTTTGATGATTTTTGCCGCATTTTTTCATGGATTTGTATTTGTTGGTATTTGTTGGTTATAATAGGTTCTAACTCCGGTGGCGAAACATTGCACATATAAGTCCACGTTTTGGTATAGGCACCATATAACGGTGCCATTTACCCACGAATATGTCTAAAAATTGGTATTTGTGGGTCATATTACAATTAACGTTACCGTCAGGTATTCACTATGTTGAAGAGTTTTTCCATATTTTCATACCCTCCATCATACATAGAATGGAGTTTATATTAAGTTCGTCATTCCATTTATAACTCATCGAAATCAGCGTAAACTTCTAAAAAATTATATTCTAAGTTCGTAGGTGGGCTATATCGGTCTACGATATTGTACATCCTCCATATAACGGCACCTCCCTATATTCCGTACTTTGATTATTGTGTTGTATGAAAATGCACAAAAGGAGTTTTTTCTGAATATTTTGGTACAATATTCACCGGTATTTCGTATTTGGAGTTCTTAATAAGTACTTCAGCCTGTGACAGAAAATTGTCTATGGAGGTCGTATAGCCCCGATATAATTGTACCTCCCGATATTTTGATGATTTTAGCTGCATTATACAACGGATTTTTTTCAAGTTTCGTGATTGAATATTGTAATGGTCTATGAAAAATGTTGCCTATGCAGGTCCACGTCTTCGCATAGACCCCAATATAACATTTTAATAGAATATTTAACGGATTTTACTTTTGGGGATCTTCATTGAATCTCTTTTTTAATTTGATGTATGCATGTCGGTTCGACTGTCCGTCCGTCGCTCCATGTATTCTTGTGAACAAAATGCAGACCGCATTTATTATCTGATTGAGACGAAATTTTGCAAACATTATTTGTTTGGCCCAAGGACGAACCCTATTGATATTGATGATAATCGGATACGATTTAGATATAGCTCCCATATATCTTCAACCGATTTCGGGTTAATTGTGCACCAATTGATCAATATAAGTCCTAATGACCTAAACTTTGGTACATCCCACCAAATTCAGTGTAGAAGCAAGTACATCAAATTTGGAGAAAATTGGTATAGCTATAGCTCCCATATATATGTCTCATCCGATTTGGGGTTTTAAGTCTCTCACATGCGTAATATGCACTTTACAAGAATGATATTTCGTACCAGATATCAGACACAGCTCTGAAATAAGTGTGGATATAGATGCCATATATATCTTTAACCGATTTCGGGTTAATTGTGCACCAAATGGCCAATATCAGACCAAATGACCTGAATTTTGGTACATCCAACCAAATTGGGTGTATATCGATGAAGCACATTTTGGGCA